CTACAGCAGCTGAAACCAGAAGGAGCTGAAGGACTACAGCAGCTGAAGCCAAGGCAGAAACGCCAAGGCTTGTAAATTTGGTCACCATAGGAGGCGAAGATCTCAAACTGAACATCCATCAGAGGATCTCACAGCTGGAGGAGGCTTCTGCACTGCTGGACACACAAAACCAGTCAAAGTCAGAACGACACACTGAAAGGGTTCATGGAATATTTTGCTAACAGACACTGACTAACCTGCGCTCTGCAGCAGCAGACGGCTTCATCTTCTTCGAGGGGCTGCACTCGGCCTCAGCCAGGACCTTCTGAGCATGCTCAGTGGAGTCAGAGTTGATCTGAAGAGGTCCAAATGATTTTAAATCAGACAGAACGTCTCCATGGCAACTTATTGTACGGATAAACATGAACGTCCACGAACGTTCAGCTTCCACAGCTCTGCTCAGCTTGAAGCAGCAGAATGAGCTCAACATGAACTGACATGTTTTTGGTGTAAGAGGAGTTAGACTGGAGAAGAACAGAGGCAGCGCAAAGGAGAGACCAGGGAGACATTTTATTCACCACCAGGAGCAACAGAGGAGCCAGAGGGGGGCCAATGGTGGCCTTGGCCCCCAAACACTAATCTTCAGCCACCCCAATCATATGAGGAAATTATACTTTTAAGTAATTAAAAAAAGACTAGAAAGCAAAGTTTTCTCACATGCTGCTGCCAGAGTCTTAACTGGAGTTACTGGGAGAGATCATCTCTCTCCAGTTTTAGCTTCTCTCCATTGGCTCCCTGTCAAATCCAGAATAGAATTCAAAATCTTACTTCTAACCTACAAAGCTCTCAACAACCTAGCTCCATCTTATATTACAGATCTTATTGTTCCATATTTTACTAACAGAGCACTTCACTCTCAGACTTGTGGTTCCTAGAGTTTACAAAAACAGAATGGGAGGAAGATCTTTCAGTTCTCAGGCTCCTCTCTTGTGGAACCAACTTCCAGTTTCTGTCCATGAGGCTGACACATTATCCAGTTTTAAAACTGGGATTAAGACTTTCCTTTTTGCTAAATCCTATAGTTAGGGTCGGCTTGGGTTTCCTGAGCTGTCCCTTAGTTCTGCTGCTATAGACTTAGACTGCTGGAGGACAAACTGACCACACTTTTCACTCTGCTGCTTCTTTACTTACTCTGCTCAACCTGTTTTGTATTTGTAATTATTTTTTATATCCTTAACATGTGTCTTTAAGATACACCTGGACTTATATCTGGACCTGGACCTATATCTGGACCTGGACCTATATCTGGACCTGGATCTATATCTGGACCTGGACCTATATCTGGACCTGGACCTA